AGAGGTTGGAGGACGTGCCTGAATGTGCGGATGCATTTTCCGAGGTGGGCCAGCTTTGGAGATGAGCCACTCAGGACCTGGAGTATGAGATGGAGTGGAGGTAGGGTTACCGATCTGTCTTGGTGTGCCCTGAACTTTCTGACGTTACCACTGAAGGTCCTGTCCTGTGTCCTGGAGACACCCCCACCCCTGGGTCACCTGGGCTGCCGGTCGCGCTCTGCTTTGTCTCTAAGACAAGAGCGTCTCTGAGACGCCAGGGTGTCAGAGGGTGGTCTGTGAAAGCTGCACGATCGGTCATGCTTGCAGGCATGTGTCATCTTTTGACCTAGGCTCAAGTGTGTGGGGGTGTGTATCCACATCAGCAAAAGGGAGCTTTTTTTGGAAGCCCTGAATTCTAGGAATAACAACAATGCTAAAAATGGCAAAGATTTCTAAGAGTGGGAATACTGAAATGTGGTTATATCAGCATTTTCCAGTCTGCGAATTAACTGCATTGTACTCAGAGCTTTAAAAAAAATCCTATCAAGGGACTTCCCTGGTGGCCCAGTGGTTAAGACTCGGTGCTCTTAATGCAGGGGGCCTGAATTTGATCCCTGGTCAGAGAAGTAGATCCCACACGCCAATCCCACACGTGACAACGACGTGTGCTGCAGTTAAATTAAAAAAAAAAAGTAATATCAACAACAGTCACCCAGATAGTTCTTTTCTTTCTGTTGGAAATGTAACTGCTGATTTATTATAATAGCATCTATTTTCTTATTAATCTAATAACATCAATTGTTAATATTCCATGAAAGGACTGTGTAGAAATATTATACATTTGTTTAATTGAGCATGGAAATGATATCTGGAATGAAATAATGTTTAATTAGATAGACATATCCAGTTTCAAAAATATATTTTACACTCCACATGCATTACATAGTGCAAACCATAGCTTCATTATAATTCCAATTTTTTTTAGCAATTGACTTGGTATAAGCAATCAAATAAGCATCAAGAAATTATTCTAGAGAATTTTTTTTTTCAGAACAGTATTTGATGGTTAAATTATTAAAAATGAAATACAGACTTTCTGGAACAATTGTAGAAATACATTTCAACCCAAACCTCTTAGAATGAGTCAACATACAAGACTGTATATGTCATGTATGTATATGTATATATATACAAATATATATGTATATGCTGACATATAAAAGGCATATTGAAATAAGTCACCTCAGAATTACACTGTTTATGTCAACATCATAGATGTGTACAATCATGGAAAATAAAAATGTGTGGGGTAGGATATAGCTTATTCATAGAAACAAAAAAAGAATTCTTAGTGGAGGATGACTGGAAATACAGCTGTTTGCTATGAACATCAGTGGAGAGTCACTGTGCACGGACTTGGAGACCTATATATGCCTGTACCTTAATGTGTTTCTGCCAGAAACTGGAAGATTTCCTCCTCTTCTGTGTCCCACATAAAATATATACAGCAGATTTGTTGAATTCATACTAATTTTTAGTCAGTATTAAGTTGAATACCTCTTGAAAACTTTGAAAGAAATATTCTCCCTCTTCCAAAAAGTGCATATATTAATGGCTAAAGAAAACAAACTGTCATCTGTTCCGCTAGGCTTTGGCATATAGATCAGCTCTTCACTTCATTAGGAACCAGTGAGAGGACATAAATGTCTTATTTAAGCTAAGCCTTAAATTTTGTTTATTAAACTTTTTACTCTGAGAGAATTGCTGACAATTGTAGATTCACAGGGAGTTGAAAGATTGAATAGGGAGATTCTGTGTGCCTTTTATCTATTTTGCCCCCAGTCTTGCCCCCAGTCTTGCAAAATGATACAGTATCACAACCAGGACTTTGACACTGACACAAACAAGCTAGAGAACATTTCCATCACAGTAAGTGCCTTTTTCATGGTCATGCTCATCTCCTTCTCCACCCTCCTCCTGGTGACCCTGGTCTATTCTCAATTTCTAGACTTCCACATTTCAAAATGTTCTATAAATGGAGTTACATGGTATGTAACCTTTGTGGATGAGCTTTTTCACTCAGCATAATTTTCTGAAGACTCATGCAAGTGGTTGCCTGTGTCAGAAATTAGCAGTTATTGCTGCATAGTATTCCATGGCTTGACTGTATCACAACTTGTTTTACCAGTCACCCATTATAGGACATCTGGTTGTTTACAGATTTGGAATATTATGAATAAAACTGCTTTGAACATTCATGTACAAGTTTCTGTGTGAACATAAGTTTGCACCTCTCTGGGATAAATGCCCAGGAGAGCAATTGCTGAGTAGTATGACAGTCACTTGTTTAGCTTTGTAAAAAACTGTCAGTTGGTTCTCCAGAATGGCTGTTCTGTTTGATTTTCCCATCAGCTATAGACTAATCCCATTGCTCTGCATCGTTGCTAATATTTGATGTTGTTACTATAATTTAGCAATTTTGGTAGGTGCCCCATTATTAGAGTTTTAATTTGCAATTCCGTAATGACTGATGATATTGAATATCTTTTCATGTGCTCATCTGCCATATTATCTTCCGAGAAAGTCTGTTCATGTTCTCCATTGTCTAATTGGATTTTTAAAAAACTGTTGAGTTTTAAGCATTCTCCATCTATTCCAGATGGTAGTCTTTTGTTGAATATGCCATTGGCAGGTTTTTCCTCCCAGTAGGTAGCCTGTCTTTTCATTTTCTTAACATGATGATCTTTTGTAGAATGAAAGTAAAATTTTGATGAAGTCCAATTTATCAAACTTCCCTTTTATGGACTTTAGGCCTTTGGTGTCAAGTCTAAGAAGGCTTAGCTTAGATTAGGCCTAGGTCCCAAAGATTTTCTATTTTTAAAAAAAGTTTTATGGCTTTACATTTCATGTTTAGGGTTAGGATCTGTTTTTTAAATTGATTTATATTGAAGTATAGTTGCTTTGCAATGTCGTATTATTTTCTGCTTTGAAGCAAAGTGAATCAGTTATGTTTACATGTATTCCCTCTTCTTTGGATTTCTTTCCCAATCAGGTCACCGCAGAGCATTGAGTACTGTTCCTTGTGCTACACAGCCGGTCCTCATTAGCCATCTGTTTTATACATAGTAATGCATAGGTGTCAATCCCAACCTCCCAGTTCATCCCCTCCCCCCATCCATACATCTGTTCTCCTCTGTATCTCTATTTCTGCCCTGCAGTTAAGTTGATCTGTATCATTTTTTCTAGATTCCACATGTAACTAACATTATACATTATTTGTTTTCCTCTTTCCCACCTACTTCATTCTGTGTAAGTCTCTTGGTCCATCCACGTCTCTTCAAATTGCACAGTTCTGTTCCTTTTTATGGCTGAGTAATATTCCATTGTATACATGTATCACATCTTCTTATCCATTTCTCTGTTGATGGACATTTAGGCTGCTTCCTTGTCCTGACTATTGTAAACAGTGCTGCTATGAACATTAGGGTGTGTGTGTCTTTTTGAATTATGGTTTTCTCTCCTCTTGCCTAGGAGTGAGATTGCTGGGTCATATGGTAGCTCTATTTTTACCCTCAAATGTACTTTATTCTTCTATATTAGACATTGCTATTGTTAAAGAATGCTTTTGTGACTTGACTTTTGATAAATAAAGAATTCTGTGCATTTGACTATGCTTTTAAGAATAGGCACTTAAAAATATTTTGACAACTCAAACTCTCTTCATGTCTTAATTTTTTAAACAAAAGTGTAACAATTAATAACACTATTATTTTTTAAGTGAATATTTCCTATATTTTTCGTGTTGTGTTTTTAATGTTTATACAACATACCTAACCCACCAAAGAGGGTTTAGAGTCAGTCATTATAAAAAGGCAGAAAACTGGGTCTTGCTAGATCCCTTATAAATTTCAAATGTAAGTGGTCTCAAATGTGTACTCATAGGTCCTTGAAGGCCTTAGGTATACACAAAGGTATGATTTGGGCACTCCTGCGTATAATTTGTAGAAAATTTAAAATCTAAAGTAATAATCAAATTTCAGAGACTTTTTCTCTTTTTTTTGGTAGAAAATAGTAGCCGATCATCCACAGTTAGGTTAGTCATCGCTTTACAGATTGTGCTGATTCAGTGACTGCCTGTGTATTTCAGGAACTCTTTGTCTTGTTCTTAGAACTGGACATTGTTTGGGCCCCACTCTGTCCACTGTGTGTGCCGTGCATGCTGGAGTCAGACCCTGGGATGCTGACTTCAGCTCTCTGAGCTTCAGTGTTCTTGTCTGAAAGTGGCAACGATGATGCATCTCCTTGGTTGTCAGATTCCAGTGAGATGATCCTGTCGAGGGCCTGGCCCATGGATGGGCAGAAAGCATGCCTTCAGTTACTGACTTCTTTCCTCCCTTTTCTTATATGTGGCCTTTTCTTCCTTTCCAGCCTCTCCTCTCCCCCTCTTCTCTCTGCACCACAGACTGGGCACCACTCCCTGTGTCTAAGAGAAGGGGACGCTTTGTCACAGCACCAGGAGAGGGGGTCTGGGGAGCCTGATGCCGAAGCTGCCCCTCCCTTAAGGCGCTGTCATGACCTGACCATGACCTAGAACAGGGTTGTGCACCAAACTCAGATGTTCTCACGTGGTTTGTCACGTTGCAGGGGGGAAAAGCTTCATGAGTGACCAGTGCATTTTAGCAAGTGACACTCAAGCATGCATCCGCCATTCAACAGAGGGATGGTAGTGAAAAAGTGAAAGTGTTAGTCGCTCAGTCATGTCCAACTCTTTATGATTCCATGGACTGTAGCCCATCAGGCTCCTCTGCTTATGGAATTCTCCAGGCAACACTACTGGAGTGGGTTGCCATTTCCTTCTCCAGGGGATCTTCTTGACCCAGGGATCGAACCTGGGTCTCCTGCATTGCAGGTGGGATTCTTTACCACTGAGCCACCAGGGAAGCCCAGCAGGATGGTAACCCATAGACAAAGATTCCTGCACCCTCACCCTGAGCCCAAGATGACAGCTGTATGATGCGTGTTTAGTTCTTCTGTGGTTGCAATGAGCTTAGAAGCAAGACACGGCTTTGGGCACAACGAGCAACAAACATATTCTTATAATACAAAACAATCACGTTGTACATACAGGCAGAATTTTTGTTTGAATGGAACAGCAGCTGTCTCAATATGTCACTATAACAACCAACAATGCTCCCACACAGGTGAGTCTGGTTTGAAAGCATGTGAACAGACTCTCTAGGAGGAGTCCCTGTGTGATCTGGTGATTTGCAAACAGCCACTTCACTCTCCTGCCAGCACAGGGGTCCCCGGTGACCTGCTCTCATCCTGCTCGCTGTCAGGGTGACAGGCCTGCTGTGAACCCTTCCACAAAGAGACAGCAGTCAACCGCTGTCCGGCGGCGCTGCGTAAAAGGTTTCCATTTTACGCAAGCATGGAGGACTTTCCTCTCCCTCCATCAGGCCTTTCTTGGAACGGCTCTGAAGTACTCCTCCCTGGAGATATCGGCTACTCCTCCATACCATTTCTGAAGCCAGATGTGTTCTATCTTCATCTTCATGAAGAACCACTCATATGGCCGAGGCCACTTTCTCATCACTGGGTGTCTACGGAAATAAAGAAGTCACCATAGAGAAGTTTTCATTGGAGGGCGCGCCCTCTGGAGCAGAGGGCCGGACCTAGCCTTGGCCGGGCCACAGGGCAGACGCCAGGTCTCTCGGGCTCAGTCGCTTCAGTTGTGTCTGAGTCTGTGCGACCCCATGGACTGTAGCCCACCAGGCTCCTCTGTCCGTGGGCTTCTCCAGGCAAGAATACTGGAGTGGGTTGCCACTCCCTTCTCCAGGGGATCTTCCTGACCCGGGGATCGAGCCTGCGTCTCCTGCATTGCATTCCTTACCCACTGGGCTACGAGGGAAGCCCCCTCTGTGAAACCTGCTCAAACCAGCCAGAGGCCAAAGCCAGGGCTGGGGCCTGGGACCCCGAAAGGAGGGCAGGACGCTGTCGTCCCCAGAGGGTGGTGGACAGCGCAAGTCTGGAGCCAGGCAATGTGGTTTGAACCCCAGTTTGGCTGCTGATAAACCGGGATGCCTCACGGGCTATTTGCCCTCTCCTCACTGGTCATGTGGGGTGAGAGGGACGCTGCTGGGATCACAGGGCTGCGTGGGGAACAGACAGTGAGGCTCACAAGGAACCTGCATGGAGGAAGCGTTCAGGGGATGTGGGCCATTGTTATCAGGAAGCATCAAGAAAGGCTTAAAATATCTCTGTATGAAATGTTAAAAGAATTTTGAGCCCTCTCTCTTTTTATCTTGTTGTTTAAAACCTGAGTATTTATTTATTTTCTAAATATTTATTGGGACTTCCCTGGCTGTCCAGTGGTTAAGAATTGCCTTCTAATACAGGGGTTTCAGGTTCGATCCCTGGTCTGGGAACTAAGATCCCACATGCCTCAGAGCAACTAAGCCCATGAGCTATGACTAGCAAGAAGCTCCAGTGCAGCCAAAATAAATATAAATATATGTTGTTGTTCAGTTGCTAAGTCATGTTCAGTTCTTTGTGACCCCATGGACTGCAGCATGGCAGGCTCCCCTGTCGTTCACTATCTCCCAGAGTTTGCTCAGACTCATGTCTGTTGAGTCGGTGATGCTGTCTAACCATCTCATCCTCTGTTGTCCCCTTCTCCTCCTGCCTTCAATCTTTCCCAGCATCAGGGTCTTTTTCAGTTAGTCAGCTCTTTGTATGAGGTGGCCAAAGTCGGAGCTTCAGCTTTAGCATCCGTCCTTCCAATGAACATTCAGGGTTGATCTCTCTTAGGATTGACTGATTTGATCTCCTTGCTGTCCAAGGGACTCTCAAGAGTCTTTTCCAACACCACAATTCGAAAGCATCAACTCTTCGGCACTCAGCCAAAGAATTATGGTCCAGCTCTCACATTCATACCTGACTGCTGGAAAAACCATAGATTTGACTAGGTGGACCTTTTTCAGCAAGGTGATGTCTCTGCGTTTTATTTTTTTGGCATGGTTGGCAGGATATCTCTGCGTTTCAGCATGCTGCTTATTTATTTGGCTGCACCGGGTCTTGGTTATGATGTGCAGGCTCAGTAGTTGAGCTGCTTGGGTTTGGTTGCCCCACAGCATGTGGGATCTTACTTCCTGGACCAGAGATCAAACCCACGTCTCCAGCATTGCAGGCAGATTCTTTAAGGCTAAGCCACAGGGGAAGCCCCTTAAACCACATACCAACCTTGAAAACATGGCTTGCTTGGCGAATTCTACTTCTTCTGGGGACACGGCGACCATCTGACCAGTGAGCGCTAGCCGGGCACAGCGAGGGTCTTCTGGGTCCACGATGTTTTTCCTGCATTTGAAGGACATTTCCCAGATATTAAAAGGATGATAGAACATCAGTTGGACATATGGAGGATTTTACTAAAAAGAGAAAATAATAGTTACATTGCTAGTTATATCATTCAGGTTTTTACATTTTTCTGGAATTACTTGAAAACACTTTGACACGTATGATCCAGAAATCCCACTCCTGGGCATATATCCAGAGAAAAGCATATTCCAAAAAGATACACACACCCCACTGTTCACTGCAGCACCATTCACGACAGCCAAGACAAGGAAACAGCCTCATGTCCGTTGACAGACGGATGGGTAAAGATGTGGTCAGATGAGAGGTGCCCCTGGAGCTGTACAGAGCAGCGAGCTGACTCTGAACAGGGGCTCCCAGTGAGGGCCTTGCAGAGCCCTGGCCTGGCCCGTGTGCTCTTGACCAGCACTTCCCAAGTCGTCTCCTGCCCCGAGGATGCAGACTGACATCTAGTGTCCACAAACACACCTGTCACGCTGCCTGTGTGAAAATATTTTACCTTTTTAATTTTATTGGAACACAGTTGAGGTACTGTGTTCCAACAAAATTACAGGAATGTTGTGTTAATTCCTGCTTACAGCCAAGTGCTTTAGTTATAATATATAAAATAGTAAAATATTTAATATATTTTATTATTTAAAAAATATTCTTTTACATTACGGTTTATCATAGGATAGTGAATATAGTTCCCTGTGCTATACAGTAGGACCTTGTCGTCTATCCATTCTAAATGTAACAGCTCACATCTACCAGCCCCAAACTCCAGTCCGTCCCTCCCCCAGTGCCTTCCTTGGCAACCGCAAGGCTGTTCTCTATGTCTGTGAGTCTATTTCTGTTTCGTAGATAAGTTCATCGTGTCATAGTTTAGATTCCATATATAAGTGACAGTATATGATATATTTTTTTTTCTATTTTTTTTTCCATTTATTTTTATTAGTTGGAGGCTAATTACTTTACATCATTGCAGTGGTTTTTGTCATACATTGAAATGAATTAGCCATGTATTTACATGTATTCCCCATCCCGGTCCCCCCTCCCACCTCCCTCTCCACCCGATCCCTCTGGGTCTTCCCAGTGCACCAGGCCCGAGCACTTGTCTCATGCACCCAACCTGGGCTGGTGATCTGTTTCACCCTAGATAATATACATGTTTCAATGCTGTTCTCTTGAAACATCCCACCCTCGCCTTCTCCCAGAGTCCACAAGTCTGTTCTATACATCTGAGTCTCTTTTTCTGTTTTGCATATAGGGTTATCGTTACCATCTTTCTAAATTCCATATATATGTGTTAGTATACTGTAATGGTCTTTATCTTTCTGGCTTACTTCGCTCTGTATAATGGGCTCCAGTTTCATCCATCTCATTAGAACGGATTCAAATGAATTCTTTTCAATGGCTGAGTAATATTCCATGGTGTATATGTACCACAGCTTCCTCATTCATTCGTCTGCTGATGGGCATCTAGGTTGCTTCCATGTCCTGGCTATTATAAACAGTGCTGCGATGAACATTGGGGTACACGTGTCTCTTTCAGATCTGGTTTCCTTGGTGTGTATGCCCAGAAGTGGGATTGCTGGGTCATATGGCAGTTCTATTTCCAGCTTTTTAAGAAATCTCCACACTGTTTTCCATAGTGGCTGTACTAATTTGCATTCCCACCAACAGTGTCCCCTTTTCTCCACACCCTCTCCAGCATTTATTGCTTGTAGACTTTTGGATAGCAGCCATCCTGACTGGCATATAATGGTACCTCATTATGGTTTTGATTTGCATTTCTCTGATAATGAGTGATGTTGAGCATCTTTTCATGTGTTTGTTAGCCATCTGTATGTCTTCCTTGGAGAAATGTCTGTTTAGTTCTTTGGCCCATTTTTTGATTGGGTCATTTATTTTTCTGGAGTTGAGCTGGAGGAGTTGCTTGTATATTTTTGAGATTAATCCTTTGTCTGTTGCTTCGTTTGCTATTATTTTCTCCCAATCTGAGGGCTGTCTTTTCACCTTGCTTATAGTTTCCTTTGTTGTGCAAAAGCTTTTAAGTTTCATTAGGTCCCATTTGTTTATTTTTGCTTTTGTTTCTAAAATTCTGGGATGTGGGTCATAGAGGATCCTGCTGTGATTTATGTCGGAGAGTGTTTTGCCTATGTTCTCCTCTAGGAGTTTTATAGTTTCTGGTCTTACATTTAGATCTTTAATCCATTTTGAGTTTATTTTTGTGTATGGTGTTAGAAAGTGTTCTAGTTTCATTCTTTTACAGGTGGTTGACCAGTTTTCCCAGCACCACTTGTTAAAGAGGTTGTCTTTTTTCCATTGTATATCCTTGCCTCCTTTGTCGAAGATAAGGTGACCATAGGTTCGTGGATTTATCTCTGGGCTTTCTATTCTGTTCCATTGATCTATATTTCTAAGTGACAGTATATGATATTTGTCTTTTTCTTTCTGACAGATGTGGTACCTATGTACAATGGAATATTACTCAGCCATAAAAAAGAGTGAAATAATGCCATTTGCAGCAACATGGATAGACAGACCTAGAAATGATCACACTTAGTCAAGTCAGAAAGAGATTTGAGGGGCTTGAGGTGTTGGGGAAAAGTTCTTTTTGTTTTATATACTTCTATATTTTGAATATTACAATTATGTAATGAAGAAAAGTGGTTTCCAGGGGCTAGGAGCCAGATAGGGGGTTTGATAAAAGGGTATGAACTTGCAGCTATAAGATGAAAAAAGTCTGAGAATCTAATTTATAACATGGCAACTCTTGTTAACAATGCTATATTGTATAGCTGAAATTTTCTGAGAAGAGAACTTAAATGTCCTCACAAAAAAGATAAACAGGAGGTGACAGATATGTTAATTAACTACATGGTGGGATTTTTTTTAGCTTTTTATTTTGCACTGGCATACAGCCAATTAACAAAGCTGTGACAGTTCTAGGGGACAGCAAAGGCACTCAGCTGCACAGATACATGTATCCCTTCTCCCCCAGACTCCCCTCCCGGCCAGGCTTCCAGGTAACATTGAGCACAGAACATTGTGTATCCTCGTGGGACACAGTCCATCCTTGTTGCTGATCCATTTTGAATATAGCCGTGTGTACATACCCATCCCAGATTCCCTAACTATCCCTTTTCCCCTTCCTTTCTCCCACCACCCCCCACAACCATAAGTTCATTCTTTAAATCTGTGAGTCTCTTTTTGTTTTGTTAGTAAGTTCATTTGTATCATATTTTCTTAGATACCACATATAAGGGACATCATACCATATTACTCCTTCTCTGACTTACTTCACTCGATGACACTCCCTAGGTCCATCCACATTGCTGCAAATGGCATTATTTCATTCTTTTTAATGACTGAATAATATGCCATTGTATATATATATATACACACCACATTTTCTTTCACATCTTATTTATCCATCCCTCAGCTGAGGGCCATTTAGTTTGCTTCCATGTCCTGGCTATTGTTAGCAGTGCTATAATGAACACTGAGGTGCAGGTATCTTTTCGGATCATGTTTTTCTCCAGATATATGCCCAGGAATGTGATTGCAGGGTCATACGGTAGCTCTAGTTTTATTTTTTTAAGGAATCTCTCTACTCCTCTCCTTACTGGCTGTAAGGTGGTGGGAATTTTTGCACAATGTGTATGTATATCAAATCATCAGGGTGTGTACTTTTAAATATCTTATAATTTTGTCAATTATATCCCAATAAAGCTGGGAAAAGACCAAAAAAATAGCGGTCATATACCATTATCTCCTGGTGGGCAGTGAAGGGGTAAGCCAGCAGACCTGGGTTCTGAAAGGCCTGTCTTCAGGAGGACCAACCCCTGACTGGTTCCTCGAAGATACCTCTGAGCCCTTGAGATGTCCTACTTCATAGGCATGTTTTTGTGCCTGAGGCCCTGGGCCATGCTGGGTCAGCTTGACTTCCTGGGCCCTGAGTCTGAGTAGCTAAGAAAAATCATGCAGATGTTGAAACTGCCAAGTGACTGGATTCCAATAAAAACCCTGGATACCAAGGCTCAGGTGAGCTTCCCAGGTTGGCAATATCTTGCACTTATTGTCACACATCATTTGTGGGAGGATTAAGTATATCCCCATGTAATTTTAGTGGGAAGGGGCCCTTGGAAGCTCACGCCTGGTTTTTTCTGGACTTCATTTCATGCACCTTTTGCCCTTGATGGCCTTGATCTGTATCCTCTCACTGGAATAAACCAGGAGCTCTTGAGTCCTGTGAGTTATTCCACGGAGCCTGAGGGTGGTCTTGGGACCCGGGTACAGCTGACCAAGGAGACTCTGAGGATGCTCTTTTCAAAGATGGTGTATATCACAAAACGGTGGCTTTGAGGCTCGACTCGTTAGAACTCATTCCTGTCCATTATAACATTAACTTGAGAACAGTATATTTGTTAAGCAAAACATATATTTTGCTTATACTCAGGGAACTTGTTTTCACCTGCCTACAAGTTTTTCTTTATTACACACCCTGTTGAGTCATAACAAGAGAAAGAGTGGACACGCCCACAGGTTCAGGTAAATTGCTTCATGTGAGAACACTGTGTACCATTTGAAAGTGTTACCATTCGCCAGTGGTTTTGACACTGCAAAAATGTTGTTGCTGAATTGTGAATTTTTCTAAGATGAAAGAAGGATGGGAGGCAATCTACATAATAGCTGTAAACACTGAATTGACATTGAAGTTTGTATGAAAACCTGAGATGGATAGGAGAAAGTAAAAATAGTAAATGGGGATGAATTTACATATACCCGACAAGACTGTCATCAGTTGTATCGAATTTGTTTGCTATTAAAGCCATTTTTTTCCCCATAAACTTGCTCCATCATGAAAGCAATGAAATGAGGATTCATAAGTAAGTCATGATAGAAGAACACATTGCATTTAAGAAGGGAGCAGTTTGCATCTCCACTGGTGGTGATTACACCAGCTGGAAAGAAGGGGTGTGTGTGTGTGTGTGTGT